AGGCTTCGAAGTCGCGTGTGGACAAACAGTGCCTGCTTGTCATTCGGCCTATGCGTCCACAAACTGCAGTACTGGTTCGGTGAAAGATGGTTTCTGTCTCCAACTTAACGACCTCCTTTGTTACAGAAGTAACACGGATACTGTGGTTTGGGCTGGTGATCTAAACGCCCAAGTCGGAAATTTGTCCAGTGATGAGCTTCATCTAGGTGGTCAACATGGTGTAGGATCCCGTAATGCTAACAGTGAGCGGATGCTACACCTGTGTGGAAATGCTCGCCTCTTTCTCGCGAGTACCAACTTTCGACACAGCACCCGCGGAACAGTCACTTGGCACCCACCAGCCTCGGGCCAGCCATGGACGCAAATCGATCACATCGCGATCAGTTATCGCTGGAGAGGCTGCATCCAAAACTGTCTGTCACTTTGGAGCTCGAGCGTTTACTCCGATCACGCTCTTGTGTGTGCTTAACTTCGGATACCTTTCTTCGGACATCCGCGACGTCGCTGTTCGCGTATCAACACCAGCCAACTAGCAAAGCCAGGTGTTCTGAATGCGTATCAAAGTACGCTGGCATCCGGGCTAAGTAAGCGCCCACTGAACACCGTTGAAGATCACTGGTTGCATATTCGCCAGACGTTACTATCAGCAGGCATGTCTTCATATGGTAAATCAAGTTACCAAGCTGGACATGGTGTTCCTGGAAATTCTGGATGCTCGCTGACGTATTCCGCCTGAAAGCGAATAAAATGACACTCGCATAAACCTCAGGGGAAAAAAAGCGTGTTAGATTAGATAGAGATCGCGAAGCCTGGTGGTCTCATCGTGCATTGGAATTGGAAACAGCCACTTCCGTTGATAATCCGTCTGATACGGGAAACGGGCTGCAGGAGACCTACTGTTAGAGAGACCACACACGAGCAGAGCGGACACCCGATCCACAACTTGTCAAAGCGCTTCGAACGTTGAGCCGAACCCTTTGCAATACAGTTTAACAGATCTGAGTTCTCACTTTTTTTCGGGCACCGAGTGCCCTTCTCCCTGGACCGTCTGCTTGGGTCCGATATCACACGCAGAATTGGAGTGTGATATCGGACTGTTGAAATTACCCTCTTCATATTCGGAGGACTTGCTCTTGTAGATGGTTTATGCGTATCACTAGTGAAACTTTAAGAGCAGGAAACTGCCTCAACGGACGGGAACGGCTTCGTCATTGTCCCACTTTTCAAGGGAGGCTCACGTTCTGAATGCAGCAATCCTAAAGAGATCAGTCTGATCTCAATCTTCTCACAATGTCCGGGCATGTGTTGGATTTCAGGCTAGCGTACTCGAGAACAATGGAAATCACCCATGATTAGACATTGGGATGACCCATGCGGCTTCGGAGATGCGGCAGACAATCCAAACAATAGTTCAAGGGACTGCGATAACGGCACGCCCGAGCAGCTCTCCGCGCCTGAGTTGGATCGGGCACTACAGCTGCTCACGCGTGCTATCATTGCTTCTGTAGACACTCACATGTCTCCCACACAGAGATGCCCGAATGTAGAGCAAGACGCCACCTGGGACAGTCGAGAGTCTATCGAAACCGAGGCATGAGTAGTCCCTGAGCTTAATTTCTTGGAGATTCACCCCAGAATTCAGCCATGTCTACGAATTCTACTACGTTTGGCCGCTAGGATGCGACGAAACGACAGAGTTCATGGCATTTGTTCATAAGACTGAATACGCCAATAAAGGCTGCACACAAGCCGTTGCAGGGACCGCCGGGTGTGCTTAAAGTGTAAGTAACCTGTTTATGCTGCCTCGTGGAATCTTGGAAACGACCCGAAAATTTATGATACGGAGATTTGTTTCCCCATTACGATTTCGTCTTTTCAGCTCATTAATGGTGTAGTTAAGCCGTCATCGATCCACTGAATCCAGATCTGAACGAACATGGATCTTTAACCCTTCCAACCTATTTAAACAGTACAAGAGCAGCATCGGATTGGCTTCGTCTACAAAGGTGCTTTTCACTGTCCGGTTTTGTTGATCATCTTTCTTTCCAAGAAAGGTCATTCGCTTCACTTTCAATCTGTCTTCATCCACATCGATTGGCTTATCAGTTGAACTTTGTAAAAATTCGAAGTCATGATCATGGCGCCTCTTAGATAGGTGCGGTTGGATCACTTACTCAAGCTCGTGGAAAATCACGATGGTAAAGCGCCTCTAGTCTGCCAAGGATTGATCTCGCAGGGTGAGCATTTCCCCGAGTTTCACGTGGTCTGACTCGCCGTTGGTCCACAGCGGTTGAACTCTTCATTTTTCTGCTTTCTCCGTCCTTGCACTTCCCGCGGGTCTACAGTACACAGGTTTTCATACACTGGGACATTTGTTCCCGTAAAATATGACAAGTAAAAGGTTCGCGTCAGGTGAAACTGGGCTATCCGTAAGGGCGGGACTTCGAGCCTTTGTGTTTACCTCGGACGAACAGGAAATCTTACCTGAAATCTGGAGGCGTTTCGGACTAGCTTGTTGGGCCAAACACATGGAGCTACTCATAACGGAATGATTCACCCTACAAGGTTGCGGTTCTGCTCTACCTATTCCACCTGTATTTCGTTTCGGCAATTGCTTACGCAAAATTTGCGTGAAAACATGATGGATTTCACGAAAACATCCGAAATGCTCATCCGATAGCCCAAAGCAGGAAATGTGGATTTTAACGTGACACAACATGTAAGCGCATCTGTTCGATTTCCGGTAACCTTGGAACATGCACCGATCTCACCAACAACATTTGCGGCACCGTTCTCGTTGGAGTTACTCGTCGCTCATATCTCAGCTATCACTGCACGAAAATGGATTACGGTCATGTGGCTCCTATTCATCTAATGTGAGGACAGGTTGGTCGTCATTGTGATAACCAGCGACGATACTTCTGCTACTGTTTGCAACGTGAGGTGGGTGTAGCCGACGTTTTTCAAAACTTTGCTACCGAAAACAGCATTCTGCTTATCGCTAGCTTTTCTCGGTTGAGGTGGATCACTAACTTAGCGATTTGCCGTTGATAGTAAAGAAGCACAATTGTTACTCAGAGGCTTGGTGCTACTCGCTATGTACCAATCGGCCGCTGGCAAATAACCTACCTAGCTGTCAAATTCGCATGCGGTCTACAGTAATCACATGCACACAACAAGATCAAATTGCCCTATGCTTTCTACGACCATCTTATGGAATTTTGGGGTCATTTCTACTCGGGCAAATTCATACAGAGTTTTGCGTCGCATTGTATATTTGTTTGTTCCGCAAAACTCATGGGTCATACTGTTACGTCCAACACTACATGTTAAAATGAGACCCGTGAGTCGTCAGAACCGATCCATGCCGTTAGAGCTAGGGCTTCTAACCAGAGGTGAGATGTTACCGCTGCAATTCGTCCTAGGTCAGCATATCAGCCCTCTATTGACCTTCACAATGTATGGGAAAGCGTTTTCAGTTTGACGACTGGCTTGTATTAACCGTATCTGTAGGACGGATCAAACGCATGGAAGTGTGCGCTTCACCGACAATGGCCACAGGTTGTTACCAAGCAATATAGTGACACAGGTCAGTGAACATCTAACCGGGGAAATCCGTGGTTGCACGGCCGATCTCCGTTTGATTTCACATGGCATCCATAGTAGATGTACCTTCGGCCATGTGCGTCAATGTAGTCGCTTGGGGAGTCGGTCCGTCACACTAGACTCCACGGAGCAGCTTCCTTTTACTAAGCTGACTGCCTGTTTGCGGTGCCCGCCTATCGTTCGTTCATACACCCACATAGGGAGATGTGTCACTTTTGGCGATAAAATTACTCAAAAGGCTACCAGACGGATCAGTATGGTCCAGATTGCTCTTCAAATGCTTACTAACCAGTAGTATGTGAGTGACATCTTCCACTTGGTCAAGGACAAGATGCGCAGTTGTAAAATGCAACTATCGCTATCATATGATTGAGCGGAGTAGCATGAGTACGCTTTGGATATTAGTAATCTAAAATCCGTTCGTATAGCTCCTAAGTCCTATGTGGTATACGGTCGCTATGCGGCGATTCCCTAGCTCGTGGGGCGAACTACTGTTCTCAGTACAGTTCGTAACTGGCATGGCAGCGGAGCATGAGCTGGGCTATATCATGGTCAACTGTCAGACATGCAGGTCCGCGGTCGTCACTAATGGCTTAGTGACACTAACTGTTGGCACCCGACTATCATGGAGTCGGAAATCAGCAGGGGTTCGATGGAAGACGAACCACTGCCGATACCCGGAAAGTCGAAACAGCACTGTCTGGTGCTTTTCCAGACGTGTAAAAGCCTACTGACTGAGAAGGGACTGTGATGAATTACCTGTGATATTAATAGATCATTTGCTTTCCAATTACCATTTTCATTTTATGGAACAACTGTGCGAGCAATCCCGCTTTCCGTCAACTGGACTTTGGTAGTATGCACCTACTACCCACGTGGGCTTGCATTGTTTGCCCTGTTTCAATTTATCGAGTGAGACTGCATGAGGACATCTGGTAACGTGGCTCAAAGGTGCAATTAAATTGTCTGAGAAGTTGATGGGCTTCACAGGTCTGACTCCTCGGTGGTTGAGCACCCACTCCAGCCCGTTGCACTCAGGAACCCTATGGTTCCATCTATATATCTATTGGTTGTTATTTTCATCTGACAATCGTAACTTTTCCGACATCCGTATAATTACCTTTTCCTTACATTTTCTCCTGCCGATGTTGTTTGGTATCCTCCTGGCTGTTCGAGTTACGGCAGTTGCATCAATTGCTTCAATGCACGGGAATGGCGTATGTACTATTTGACTTAGTCAGCTACGAATTACGTAATCTTTTCATTTTAACGACATCTGACTATCTGTAACAACCATAGAGATCTCATTGGCAGCGCACTTACTGTCTAAATGTTACTAGTCATCTAATTTTCCTAATTTACATTTTCCTTTCTCTCATTCCTCGTTTTGCCAGACGGCCTGATCCAATGGGCGATGCCCCCGACGACAATCTTTCGGCTAAAGAAATGCCATTTACTTCGAAATCGGGCTCTGTTCTTTCGCAAAACAGAAAAAATGAGAAGCGACTCTTACGAGCACTGCTTGCTGTCTACATTGTGGGTAAAATTTTCGGAGACATCGGAGATGTTAGCGTTTCCTTTGTGGCGCCTTCACATGGAATTCAGCTGGGGCTGAGTCCTGTTACGGTCAGTATATCTTCGTCCCCATATTTTGTGGATTGTTGGATTCTCCAGCTTAGATTACGGTTTTGTCTTCAGTTTAGTTTTTCGTCCACCTGATGATCTAACTTTCAACATATGTGTTTGGTTCTAATATATATTGCAACTTGTTGAAGTTACCTGCACTTGGACAGTTGATCGCTATGTAATGTGCCATGTACGCTGCTTTGCCTTGGTGCTCATGCTTTCCCAACGCCAACCAAAGACAATATTTATTCTCTGATTTATATGGGTCAAGAGCTCATCTAAAATGTTGGATATGAGCACATCCTGAATGTATTCTGGCTCTATATACGCTCGATGAAATTCGTCCATGCTAACCGCTAACGCCACACATCCGCATTACGCTGAGCATTGAGGTGGCCAGAGGACTTGCGTATCTCCGTTTTGTTTGGCTTTATTGGTTGATCTCCTACGTTATCTTAATGGCTTCTCCTTCCACATTGGTTGCTGAGTAGAGACCGGAGAAAATCACTGTTCTAGGCGTCTAGGTTTGTAGTCGAAATTGGGGTAGCATTCATTTATATGACACCTATTCGTCCCATTAAAATCGTTCTCACATCCCGACTGTCCTACACTTTGATTTTGTGTAGTGACTCAGTTCGTTCTCCTTTGGAGGTTTGGGTGCTTCATTTGCATCCAAACCGACACGTAGGCTTTAATTTCCCAAACAGCAACTCCACGGACTGCGACAGACCGAACCCACAAGCAGTTCACCGGACCCGAGGTGGATCGAGCACTACGGTTGTTCACACAGAACATATTCGCTTACAAGCCTTTTGAACTGATCATAATCATGTGATAATCTGTTGCGATTTTCTAGAGAGTTGCCTCAGCATTCGACCCGGTCTCAATGAGTCCAAACACACCTGACAAGCGACAAAGTGGCGCCCCTTGTCCCGGTAGGAACTTTCGCGGGCGCATGAAACGCAAGCTACCTCTTGGCCCGGATTCGTCGAAACCTGGTAACACCGAGACTATGGGACAGAAATTTCATTCTCCGGTATCAGTTTAGTTCAGTGCTTGCAGACCGGAGTCCTTTCCAGTCTACCGGACCCAAATCGGCGAATATGTATCTTCGAATTTCTTAGTCCGCCTAGACGGAGCTGTATCACACTCGGACTAGTTTCGTCAACAAAAGTGACTCATATGGGCCGAGTTTTCTCTTCACTACTCTTCTAAAGATGAGTGCTTTGTTTCACACTCAACCCGTCCTCATTCACACCGAGGAGTTCATCAGTTGAACAGTGCTAGTGTTCGACGTCGTGATCATAGGGAATCTGGGCATCTTGATCAGTAAACTCTGGCACGTAAACATCCTACTATTGCAACACCTTCGATTACTCATAGTTGCTTCCCTCCTCTGTTTTCTGTTTTTCACTAGTTTTCATCAGTTAAGCTGTCGCACATCGAGGCATTAGGACCCATAGGACGCGATGCAGGCATGCCAGCTGAGTTCCACTCAGCGGACGGGCTTCGTTCTGAGGAGCCTACTGCCGACTAATAATAGGGCTCTCTCGAACATACGAATGGCTGGGTGTCTGTCTATCGGGATGAGCACAATTGATCGCCATGGAACGTTTCACTCTACTTACTGGGTCCCGAGGCTTATCGACCTCAGACAGGTAAGTCGGGTCTAAAACTTTTACACAAAGTTTGGACAAAGTCTTGCTACAGTTCATGTAATGTTTTATATTGGTCCGACAATTTTAGAAGAAATTTACCGAGCGACTGCTTCTCCATTACAGATAGCTCAGTAAGTAACTAGTAAAAGAGCGAAACTTGAAAACGTAAAATTAGTCTAACAAAAAGCAAACCGGAGAATTATTTAGGATAAGCCAATGCAAAATCAGCGAAGAAACTGAAATGGGTTAAACTAAATGCAGTAGCAATATTATGCACAGTATAATTTGCGAGGCAAACGGACCTAGAATCAGACGGCGAGACTTCGACCCCTTAGTCAATCGCGCACCGGCATTCCATGCGTAAGCAAATTTTCTTGCGGCTCATCCCTTATTTGCTGTTCAACGTGGACACTGCATGGACTGTCGCAGCGGAATGCAAGATACTTACAAACTCTTTTGTAGCCATGATATCGAACGGCTGCGCCATTTGCACTACAGCGCGCGTGTCAACAATTCCGGGGAAACACAAGGGTTCAGGGAGTACCAGCGTTTCTCACTCGCGTGTACTTTTCTAGGGATGCACCACAACGCAGACATTTTGATATTTGACCAAAACCGGCTTGTTACACCGCCCACATTTGGAACACGTAGTGCGTGGTACCCCCCCCCCCTCATATTAACGAGGGTAACATAAATCCAACGCGGTTCATCCAGTTAGGGAATTAAGCGTGAGCGTAACTTCGTCTTCAGGTTCAGTCAAGTGTCCGTTACATGCATTATCCCTTGTGGGAACATTTAGACGAACTGGGGACCTTTGTAGCTTCTGAATATTTTTGCATTTGTGGCGTCACTTTCCTTTTGTATAGTACAGTGCATAATCCTTTCTGTTTCGTGTTCCTTTTCATTTCTCTTCAAGGTGCTTGAACGAAGCAGAAGCCGTTTAATACAGTGACAATCTACTCGTCAGTTAACATCACCAATTGCAATGGCAATTGCGCTGCCGCCATATCTGATTTTTTCTCTCCGGCATTGCTTCTGTTACTGTCATTTTCCATCTCATGTTGCCTAGCCCTTCAACAAAACGTCTGTAAGCTAATCATTCAGCTCAGAGAGCAACGCAGAATCCACATCCGGGCTACCGATATTCTCAGCTATTTCTTCATGCGCTACTACGTTGGTGTTTCCTATTAAATCCTACACTTTTAGAACGCGCGCACCCCATCCGCAACCGCTCACTCCTATGTATTCTCTCTTGAGCTCCCTCTTGTATTACTTCGCATTGTCTACTGTCAATCATTTCGAATTTGTTGCACTTCGAGGGATACGTCACCACAGATTGTTGCATTCCCCGCATTCGTTTTTTTTTAGGTAAGTCGTGCTATTGCCTTCTCAGGTGCAGTCGATCTAGTCGCTCGCTTGGGAGTGGGCTGGCTAACTGACCGGCCGTGCTGCATGGGACGCCGAGGTATTCTGCTGGCTTTTGTTTGGATTTTCACTGGAATCAATGCGCTAGCTTTCTCCGCCCTGCGTGGGTTGGAAACGGACGACCGCTTGAAGGTGAGTGCTACGTCCACAGAGGTATATGTATGTATATATATATATATATATATATATATATATATATATATATATATATATATATATATAGGCAACAGCCCATAAAATAAACATCGAGCCATTCAAAACTATGCAATTCGGAATAGAGGTTAATAAAACGTACAAACACGTAAGGGGATTTGATATTGCATGAAAAAAACTACATTTTTTGTAGTTTTACACACGCCATTTTGCAATTTTTATCGGTTTTTACGAGTTAGTGTTTTTGTGAATGTGAAATCAGGCAGACTTGCGCGCACTGCTTCTACTGCGACCGGTTTTGCGTCATTACTTCCAGCGTTGTGAGCCATTGGCATTCTTCATCTTTGGGTCCCCAGCTGGGGAGTCGAACTGGGCCAGCGATGGCCAGGCAAGATGTCATCGATTTCATGCATTGCCTCCAGATGTGTAGTTGACTACCACGCGGTCTTTTCCAAACTAACCCTGCGTGCGCAAACTGGCCGCGGCGTGGTAAACGCTCGTTAGGCATGCGCAGGACGTGGCCAAACCATCTCAATTGACGCAGCCGGACGACATCACAAAGCGGAACTTCCGCCTTACCCAAGACGCGGTGTCTAACGTCATCATTACACACTCGGTGTTGCCAACGCACGCGGGCAATCCTCCGCAAACAGCTACTTTCGAAGGCCGAAAGACGACGCATGTCTTCCACACGGATCGGCTAGGATTCTTTTCCTTACAGCAATGTCATGGTTACACAGGCTTTGTAAACCCTTCCTTTTAGCGAGAGTGAAATGTCGCGACGGCGCCACCAATTTCTTAAGTTGACGAGTGCTGACCGGGCTTTGGCGATTCGAAGGAATACCTCGGCTCCAATAGTGCTGTCGGCAGAGACGCAGCTCCCTAGATAGATAAAACTATCTATGTGTTCGAGCTGTGTGCCTTCGATGATGAATTGGGGAAGTGGTGCCTGCCAGTCCTGTAGAAGAACTATGCATTTGGTGGGGGCAAAGCACATACCAAACTTAGACGCTTCAATCACCAATCGATCAATGAACGATTACATCCCATGCGGGTCGTCACCGAACAAGGCGATATCATCTACGTAGTCTAAGTCGGACGTGCATTTACCTGGAAGAAGCTCGATGTCGAACTTCTGCAGGTCCTCTAAAGCTCCCGAAAGGACGTCATCGATCGCAATGTTGAATAGGAACGGTGACATTGGGTATCCTTGTCGCACACCACTGGAGACAGGGAAGAGTGGGGAAAGCGTGCCATAAGCTCTCTCTCAGCCTAAGATGTGAAGGTATAGTGCACAAAGTATGGCGGCGTACTTTTCCGGGACTCCATTCTTCAGCGGACAGTTCTATAAAGCAGGTCGATCTAGCTAGTCGGACGTAGTCCGAATATCCAGGAAATTGACAATGGTGGCTCTGTGGTGGAGGTGACGATGATCCAGAAGTCGGCAAAGAGCGAAAATCTGATCCACACATCCTCGACCGGGCGAAAACCAGTCTGCTCCCCCCGGTAGTGTGACTCACGAGTGGGGGATAACCTGCTGTACCGCCGTATTGGAACAACTCTTAGGGAAGTTCATCTGAGCCAGCCGCCTTGAAGCGCCTCAATTGACGAATTTCAAGGCAAACCACCGCTTCGGTTGGTTGTTCCAGTGGCACTGACCATAACATGCGACTGTGTGTCCTGAGTGTAAAGGCTGTATAGCGTCTCAGCAAATTAGTGATTTTCGACCCGTCCGCCTCACAGATGACCTCGTTGATACCAGGCCTCTTGTGTCCAGTCGTCCGAATGAGCTGAAACGGATTGCGGGTGTTTCTAGTGAGGGCGGCGGCCTCCATCTCCAGGGCGCGTTGGGACCACCAAAATTTCTGATCATTGCGAAGGCTTCGTTTGAGTTGTCTGCTGATACGGCGAACTTCATTCTGGTCTGGGTTTACTGAGAGAATTCGGCGACAGTCGAGCAGTACCAGGGAGCACGCCGATATCCAGCACTTCAGTGGGTGATGTGATAACCTACAGACCGACTGACCTGTAGTTAACTTTGCTTGCTGTATTTCCAGTGGTGTTCAGTATCAGTGGGCAGGTCATAGGCTAGTGTGCTTGTCATTGATAGTTGGTAGTCTAGCTGAACGACTGACCAGCTAGCCTGTTCGTAACAAGCTTACAAGGTCTCCGTTTCTGGTTTCCCCCGAATCGCATGCAAATATTGACACAGACCAGTGCGTGAGCTGAATCGAGGTTGGTGGACCAAAATAATCTGCAGTCTGGTATGCTGCCACCTCATCTGACACTGATTGCAATGTGGTCTATTTGGGACCAAGTCTGCAACGGTGAAGGAGGACGCCAGGTGGCAGAGCGTCTCCTCGAGTGCCTGAAGTTTGTGCTCGCGAGAAATAGGCTGTCTCCGCACAAATTGAAAACCCTGGTTCCGTTAGCTGAACCACTCTCGTTTGGTGCATGGTGAACACGCAGATGATATTCACCTGGTTACAGTCCACCGACACGTGCGTCAAAGCCTTCGGCAAGGACAGTGACATCCGACTTGGCGGCTTTGCGTAATAGCTTATGAAGCTACAATCGGTTGGCGCGTAAGCAAAAACTACAAACAGATTGCGCCTTTCAGCGCGATGTCTGTTAATCCTGCATGAGCCTTGGAGGCGAACTGCACATAGTCGGCTGTTAACTGGGAACCAATCAAGGAGTGCAGCCTCGGCTTTGTTGCTTAACGCCACACCAACGCCGGCCAAGCCAGCGGAAGCAGCTTCTGCGTCGCCAGATAAACGTAAGTGGTATGTGGCTTCCTGGTTGGTCGGAGATTTCAATTTGAGCACAGTATTTGGGTTTTGTAACCGCTTTTCGGAAATGCAGGCGATATCAATGGCGAGGGGACTCAGAGTACGTGCTATTCCGGCCCCTTGCCCAATCTTCATAAACTTCCGGACATTGAGGGTTTCCAGTTGGAACGAAGATCGGGGTCGAAGAATAGCCTCAGGCAGGACATCACGGGCAGCAGTGAAACCAGTAGCGGGGTCAAGTCGAGGGAAACAGGGATTATTAACAGAAGAATGATTGGCGTGTGATGAAGATTAAGAGGCTTGAGAAGTATGTTATAGAAGTGACTATTGTTGCTTTGGCTTCGCCTGACACAGGATTCACCTCGCATTTGTTCAGCTTGCGCAGGTCACAAAGCTGCATTCCTATTAGTTAAATGTCGACCTACTTGTTGTCTGTCCCTATCTTTTGTAGCCACTGCCAGTTGGACTCTTGATTGGTTATTTTGCTTGCTTCGGTATCCACGGCGTGTGCAGTGGCACGGCAATGACGCAGATGGTCATCGTGTTGTGCGACTGGGTTGGCTCCGCTCGTCTGGCTCACTCTCTGGCATTGACCATGTTCGTTTTGGGCGTGCTCATCTCTCCGGGTCAATTCGCAGTCGGTGAGTTGTCCCTTAGCATCTCTGTGTGCCTTAACAGTGCTCTGCTGGACCAATTGCATGGTTGGATATTTTGGATTAATTTTTGATTTGATCAGGAAGTCATCGTTTCTGTATGCTCGGTGAACGACCGGCTAATGTATTTGTTGAGCTTACTATGTTACGATTTGACAAACGTTTCATACTTGTTTGAACGCCTCAGCTAGCGAGTGTGAAACCGGGTGAGTCGAACTCTTAACGTAGATGGTACTGGCAGATATCACCATGACGGTCTCATGACGAAAGCGCACACGAAGGAATCGCAAAGGAAAATTACGCACAGTAACACGCGCACAGGCAGAAAATCGGACACGTAGGCTACGCACACTAACAGTGAACACATTTTACTAATCTGGTCTCATTGTCACAAGTGCTCATATTATCTATTTGTGGCACTTACAAGATCCAATTTTTGGCCTATGCCTTCAAAAGTAGCAAATTGTGACAATTATGGCATTCACACCCAAGGTGCTCGTTAGTTCGACCGCTGGGAACGTACCGTACTGCGCAGTGTTGCAAAACCATCTACAGAACTACACAGACTAAGCATCGCTCGCCTACTGCAGTTAGTCGAGGTCTCAACGAATCGGCGGCTGAAACCCACTGTGTGTCAGCAGGCCGAGTTAATGTTCCGCCTTCCCTTGCCATCCTTTTGAAGACGCTGAAATCGAAGTCGGCTATTTTCACCTGAGCCAAAGCCTCATAAGGAATGTCAGCAACGTGGGCCTAAAGACTTCCTTTGAAATCGATGTCAGCCGAAAACGCCAACTCAAGCCTCTGGCTGCACTGACCATTGTCCCGGTCGTTGATATAAGCGCAGTGTTTGATGATTTTTGCGCTGCATTTCCAAATGGAGAATCATGTAATACGGTGTTCACATACCTCTGCAAGTACGGTTGCGTAATAATCCAGGGCAACCAGTGTACTTTAGTTAATACTCACGTTCGGAATTCACGTCGCAAAAAGACGAGCTGCTGGACAGTCGTCCTGGTAGTGACAACGAGACAATAAGACTTCTCTGCGTTGCCGGAATGAACGTCACCCCACAGCTGCATCCGGGGGAAATGATTGGACACATCTCCAACACTTGGACCGATCTTCTGATTGGGCTACCTTTTTCCGCTCCACCACTTAGCTCACCAAGACAATGTGTGAAGGTGCTTCAATCAAGCTAGACAAACGCGATTGTTAGAACTCTGGTATGTACTATGTAGCAGACTACTTTTTGAGCTCTGTCTCAAAGCAGCGTATTCCAAGCAGCCAACAGAAACTGCAAACTGAGTCACACCTTGTAGAGGGAACAATTCAGATGGCCTCACTCAGGCAGCCTGCAAAAGTGGCGATCACAACCCATTCCTTAGGCACAATATTGTTCAGGGCACCAACTCAGTCGCCAACATAAAATAGAGAAACGATTAGTAGCCGACCTTTCAGCGGTTGGCGCAACCTCACATCCAATTGACAATTCCCCGTTCACTACTGATATTAAAGGTATCATACGCGTGGAACCTCAATTTTATGACTAAAACCTGGTTCCGCCAACGACGAAGTCGCAAAGAAGTGGATGCCCCTTATTCACAAATATGGCAAACGGTAATGGACTACTTAAAAGTTGTCAG